GAAATCAAAATTTAGCGACCATCATGTTTTCAGCGGTTTCATCTTACAGCCATACCGTGGGCACAGTGTGTACTACAGCTGGTAGAATCAATACCACACAAACCTAGCGTTTCAGCATTCTAGAGGACAGGACCCTCTCCAACTGTCCCTCGCTGTCTTCCATCTAAGACATGCTTGAGTCCCAGGCAGAGGAATATGTATTCCATACCAATCAACGAGGTGCCCTTAGTCCAGTGCAGCGTTCTGCATTTCAGGACATTGCCTCCAAGTCCATGGACAATGCTCTGAATGTGTTTTGTCCAAACAGCACCCTTAGCCATTACTGCACAACCAAACTCTCGTTGCTTCAGGTATGGCACCTTCTTACAAGACGAGTAGACCGAAATATAGAAGACAAAACACTCCAGGGTGAGTGCATTGATCTTGCTTTACCATTACAAGACAACTTATTTAAGTTTCACCTATGCTTCTTCGGGTCTTTCCAACAACACAAATTGAGCTTACAGCTGTGGGGAAAATGGCTTTTTCAAATTCTGCCTCATGAGTCACCACCTAGGTCCAGAAGGGGATGTACTACCCACCTCCAAGGGGACACATTTATTTTACCTCCTATCTCACTAGAATGGTGTCATAGCACAGTTTAACTCTACTTAGCAGCTGTTCACAGCCTCCATATTACTGCCTGGTACAATGACCTTCTGAAGGACAAGCTTCTTTTTGACAAGGTTTTATGCAGTATTCACCGCTACCAAGGCGATCAGCGTCTTCGCCATCACCCGCAGTGTTTCTGCCAGAGTGCACCATTGCGGGAATCCCACGTTACAATCAGAGATGGCCCCTAGAAAAACGAACAAAGGGCCAATTTGGCCCTTTCCTTTTACAAGGCTGCAGGCCTAACACAGGCATAATATTTTAAAAGCCATGCCAGAGCTCGAAATTGTGATCAATACAGTTGCCAATGCAACAAGCATTTCATCCTTGGCGACCAAAAATTCTGGTTTTGTTGCCATAACATGGCGTAATGGCAACTATATTTCTCTGTGTTGACGATCAATAACGGTTATTTTGTCTCACATTAT